TGTACTATAGCTCTAAGCTAGATAATGTTGAAAGAGGACATCCAACTTGTGTGAGACATGTTGCTGCAATTGGTCGAGCAATATTGAAAACTGCACACATCACAATGGGCTATCAGACTGTTGTACATACTACCCACGGTGTAAAAGCATTTTTGGACTCTAAAGCATTCACATTGTCTGCACAGAGGACACAGAACTTACAGCAGTTACTGAACCAAGCTCATATACACTTCACAAGTGAAGGAACAAACATGGCTTCGCAGATGGTCACTGACCAAGACCATGACTGTGTGAGCAGGACAGACATTGAAATGAGATTAGATGAAAACATGTATAGGGAACAGCTACCTGACGCACAGCTGACACTGTACTGTAATGGCCACAGTCATCAGACTGCTACAGGTAGTTTGGTTGCCTCATATGCTGTGGTGGAGGACACAACAGCTGGCTTCAGTGTGCTGCAAGCTGATGTGATCCCACAGCCAAGTTCAGCTCAGATGGCTGAGCTCTCATACAAGAATGTAAGTTGTCAAAAGACAAAGTGGTGAACATTTACACTAAAGTTTGTTGAGTAAAATTATTAACAAAATCATACTTTAAGGTTGATTCTAACATTTGATGAATTAAGAACTGAATTAGAAGATTAACATTATGCCTGTTGATTAGTCAACCTGTGTGTTTACTTTGTTTGCGTATGATAATTCTATCATAGTTAAGATTTAGTTTATAGCACACATAAGTTTACCTACTTTAATATTAGTTATGTTTATGTAGTTACAGTGAGGAACAGAAGTATTCGAACACCCTGCGATTTTGCAAGTTCTCCCACTTAGAAATCATGGAGGGGTCTGAAATTCACATTGTAGGTGCAATCCCACTCTGAGAGACAGAATTAATATATACATTTCAGGAAATCACATTGTATGATTTTTAAAGAATTTATTTGTCAGTATTTACTGTGTCAGTCAACTGGAGCACTGTTTAACATCAAAGGGGGGACTGGTTCACTAAAACACTGAATCTCATCAGGTTTATAGCTTTGACAAGGAGGGTCCACAGATACTTTATTATCACCACCTGGCTGAAGAGGCCAGGGAATTTGGGGTCACTGGGACACCAAGGGTAATAAACAAGACATTAGATCTAAAAGTCAGGAAGAGGAGACAACTTCAAAGGCTGAGCAATATACAGACACACACAGGCAAGAGAGTTTAATTAGTCAAATGGAAAGCCATGTTTTATATAGTGTAGTTAGTTAGTTGGAAACAAAGAAAGAAGTGAGTGTAGGAATTTAGGCAGAGTAGGATTTCCTCCATCTTTAGGAAGGTGCCTTTCCCATTGGAGCAGAAAGGATGCAGGAGGAGGACGGATGGATACATGGACCAATAGAACAGCACGAGTGGACCGGACCAGCCTACAAGGGCACATTTGAAATTGTATAAAATCAACTGAATGGAGGAGGACAGGTTCCTCTTAATGCAGAAGCCAGACGTGTTGTCTGATTTCAGTTTAGGAAGTGATGAAAATTTAAAGTTCCAGAGCAGGCATTTAGAGCAGCCTTCTTCACTGGATCTAAAAGCTGGACAATCACACAACCAGCATCAGAGAACCTAGGCCCCATTAATGGCACACAGTTTGAAGAAGGTCATCAAATTGTTAAATCTGCTTTTTTGATTTTTTTTATTTACAAGGCAGACTACAGATACAGTACAGTTACAGGCTGCTCTGAGGGAAGCCAGCCTAACAGCAGTTCTCGACACACGCCATCACATCAACAGCTCCTGAGATCAAAGGAAAACAAATGACACTTGTGAAGAACACACTCAAAATCTACACTCACGTATACAAAAATAAAATCACACGGACTGAACACAACTGGTAAAATGGCAAGATTTTCCCCCAAAGCACACACTGCTTCTCAACTTTGTATCTCAGATCAGCATTTCCAGATCAAAATGATTAATCTGGTTATACAACTGACCTCAGAATAGATCATACCATGTGACTATCATCTAGAATGACTTTTAGGCTCTAGGAGTGTACTCCAGTGTAAAAATAAAATGCAATACTATAGTGACCAGTTTGAGCATCTTGCAATACCATTAGGGCTTCAATTGATCTAATACGATGTTAAGTACTTTTGAAAAGTGACTAGTTAAGGGACACTGATATTCAAAGGACTAAAGGACATCAAATCCTAAAGATTCTCAATAAGTACTTTTGGATTTCAACAGAGGAAAAAGAAGAGTCAGGATGACTTCAGTTTGTGATGTTTTCCGTCTATGAGCAGGACCATCAGGAGAGTAATGTTTGCTTTACAGGCAGGTACAGCAATATATTGTAAACTCAGGCTTGGCTGGAGTAGCACAACATTACAGGACACTCCGATAGAATTCCATTGTATAGAACATTAAGCCTACGAAGTTCAGTCATGCGGGATACTGATTCAAGTTCTATACATTACAGTTCTATCTAACAGGTCCCAAACATAACTAGTGTGTCAGAAACCCTCAGTAGTCTGGGGGCTGAGACAGCGACAGTAGAGCAGCTGAACAGTTTGTCTGTCCAGGAAGAAGAGGCTTTTAATGGCACAGTATATGTCCTTGATCCATAGTAGTGCTAAAGTCACTGACTGTTGTGATTTGCTACTGAATGTCTGGTTCTGCTGAGCTACTGTATTTTAGGTTGTTTTTTTTTTTTATGCAAACGTCACAGAGAAGGCGATGGCGGTGGAAGATCTGGAGCTCATGTCCGTCGAGGCTCCAGTCTGTAGGATAGCTGCGTTAGCGCCCTCTGGTTGTCAATCACACAGAGCTTCCTAACGTAACCCCGTACCTCCACTTGATTTTTGTTCGGCTGGCATATGTCAGGATCTAATGCAGAAGAAACAGTTTGAGAAAATTATGTCATTGGAAAATTTGTTGAAAGTGGATAAATGTTTGCTACTGAAGAATAACCAGACTTACTGAACGGCTGGCTTCTACAGTGCCTCACTTGCCGAATTGTGTTAGCTATAATACGCTGATGAAACAAAGATAAGAGACTCTTTAGATATTGCACCAAACATAAAAGCCTAAAAAGAATAACTTGCCTCCTCACTGTGCACAGGACCTCACCATTTTCTCAAAATTGACCATATTGTCAATGAGTGTCTTGTTGCCTTCATGTGTAAATGTCATATCTGTAAAGACATGGATTAAATTTAATAGCAGCAAGGCTCATCCCATTATTGACTCTTATGTGCGGCAGTGACCGACATATTCTGGCTCTACGCTGACTAATACCTTTGAGGAGGAGCGGCATGAAGGGGATGATTGGTGGCTCCAGTTTGGTGACAGTGAGTCTGTAGGACCGGTGGTTTCTGGATGGGTCCTGTCACCAAACACATTCATAGTGTCAATTTCTAATCATTTACCCAAGTTAGAAAATCCATTTAAAGATGATACTCACCATCATGCTCTCGAACTCAGCATAGAACTTCTTGAACTTGGTGGGGAGTTTCTGCCCATACAAACAGATAAGACCCCAGTGACAAGAAAGGAATGTAGTATTTCAGCAACAGCTGGTGACAGATACAGATCACTGAAGATCTAGACACCGATTTATTTTCCTAAAATGTTTACCTCCCATGTCTGGCTCAGTCTGCTGACAGCAGGGTTGCTCATCCCCATAATGATGGCGAAGAATGAATTCAGGTTCTTAAACTCCCGACAGCTATGGACAAACGCATGCAAACAAGAAATAACGTGAATGTGACTAAGATCCAGTTTGACTTTTTACTACATATGAGAAACTCCTCATTGACTGACTGTGCTGCTATCTTGATGAACTTTTTGAGGAGCTGGACTCTCTTGCTGAGCTGTCCACAGAGGCAGACCTCGGTGACCACCCACAGCTGAACCTGGTTGAACCTTCGCAGGAACAGGTCCAAGTTAGCCTTGGTCCTTCTGAAGCTCTGGCAGCCAAACGTGTGGTAGAGCAGCTCATGCTGGGGAGAAGGAGGGCAACACGTTAACGAGAGCAGGTTTATAAAGTTCATCCGGTGGACAGGCCATGACGCAACTGGCCTGAGGCTGTTTGTAGTGTGTCTGTGCATGTGTCATACCTCGTGTACACAACTGAAGAGTTCCCAGTCAAACATGGTCATTTGGTAAGCCAGGTCTTTAGAGCTCATCAGCTCGAAAGTTGACATGGAGCCTGCAGAGGGGCCTTCCTGGTCTGGTAGAGGAGTCTGAGACGCACAGAAATTCACAAGCACATACACAAATATAAATAGAGAGATGTATTATGTATTAAAAACCCATCACAAGAGAGCATCTGGCTGTGTTTCACTGGTAACTGTATGAACCTGTTTATCAACCAGAAAGCAGATTTGATCTCTAAGTGCTGTGTCCAATATGCTTTAAAAGATGCATCATCTATCTCTTACCAGACCGTTGAGCTGGTCTCGAGGGCAGGCAAACAATCGCCCGTTGATGCTCAAGGCAGAAAACACTGACACATCATTAGGCTTCAATATTTGTTTCTCTGTAACACAACAGGGGGATAGCTGAGCATCACCACCCAGGTACGTCCCAGCATCAACTTAAAGACATCAATACTTTAAGGTATATTTCTCTACAAAAAGCCACCAAAATGATCTGTACATAATGTTGCAGATGAACTGCTCTTTCCCCATCTTCTTACCACCAGCAGAGCTGAGGTGCACCAACAGTAGCTCGTCACTGGTGCCTAATTTGTCGGCCACAGTGCTGATCACTTCTCTTCCTGTTGCTGCCACAGCAATCCGGATAGTCGTGTATGTGTGATCACTGCAGAACACCTTCAGTAGGACTAGAAATAACAGTGAAATGCAATAATATGGTATGTGGCAACATCCAATTTGTAATGAAAAAATGTACAAGATGAAGAAACAAAACAAGGGCCTGAAGCCCTGCTGGCAGCACCTGAAGGATTTGATGGTTACTGCGGTCGAATCTAAATTGCCCCTACGACCGAGTGTGGGTGTCTGTCTCTAAGTGTCAGCCCTGTGAGAGACTGGCAACTTCTCCAGGGTGGACCCCCCTCTCACCCAATGTCAGCTGGGACCAGCTCCAGCCCCCCACAACCTTCTTCAGGATAAGCAGTATAAATAATGGACAGATGGATGGATAGTTATTGCAGTCCACAAAGTTGCAATCTTAGTTATATGAATCCAGACATGGAGGCCTATTCATTCTGATCAAAGTTGCTCAACCAGTGTTTACACCAGATCTGCTTTTACTCTTTGTGCTACAGTGAATGGGTATTAGTGCCTTTGTCTGACTGAGCATGGTCAGCTGCCATATACATGATTGGCAGGAAAGTAAACTCTTCATTGGACTCTATGCCTCTACTTCCTCCGCAAACTGAGGAGAGCCAGTGCCCCACCCCCCGTCATGTGCTCTTTCTGCCGGGGCACCATTGAGAGTGTCATCACGGGCTCCATCATTGTGTGGTACGGAGCCTGTACTACCTCCTGCAGAAAGACCCTGCAATGCATAGTGAATACAGTCAGCAAGATCATCAGCACTCCTCTGCATTGCTGATGACACCTCCCACCCCTCACACTCCTACTTCAGACTCCTGCCTTTAGGGAGAAGGTATTGGAGTCTTCAGGCCCACTCCACCAGACTTACAAACAGCTTCATCCACCAGGCTGTGAGGAACACTGTCCGTTACCTCCCCCCTCTGCCCTCTGCCCTCTGCCCCTGGCCCGTAACCCACCACAGAACATAAAAAGACTACCTCTGCTGTTTTGCACAAACCTAGTACATTCCCCCTTCATGGCTTAGTTTCTTATTCTTTTTAGTCATTTTTACTCTTTTTTTTATTCTATTTTAGTTTCCAAAATGATATGGCATTCAATACTAGGTGAGAGGAATGGTATTTCGATTTCCTATATGTCCTGCACATATAGTGAATTGATAATAAAAATCTTTGAGCTTGATTTCTGCTAATTTATTTTTACTCGGCTAATCTCATGACAATCTGCCCATTAAACTTTTCTTGAGTAAAAACATGAATTTGGCTTTTTGCTGCAGTGGTGGCTCTACAGGAAAGATCAGAGGATTACTATGACAGTAGACTTTGTCTCCTCAGGACCATAAATATTTATAGCAATCTGGCAAGCAGTCATGTCACTAAGTTGAGCCTGCCTTAGCAGCACTTAAAGGTAATTTCACACATTCACCAACTTACTGTCATCTTGATTCCTCATCGGCTGTTTCTTTTGCAGCCTTTCCTCTCCGTTGCTGAACTGTCGTATCAGGGTTTTCTGTTAAATTGCATGGAGCAGCGCCTCAATATCCACCTCACTAGGATGAAGCTAACATGTAGCATATACTATGACATTTTATAAAATAAAACAGTCTGGCCATACCTTTTTTGATGATTTGGCTTCTTCTGAACTATACAGTGGAGAAACAAAAAATTATGCATTAAATAAATGTAACTGAGATTGGGACATAAACCATCAAGGCAAAGTTGAACATGTAGGAGCTTAGAAACGTACTGTAATTTGACAATGTTCTCCAGATCAGGAACCAAGTCTTTAAGAGCTCTCAGCATCCGAGAATCATTTGATACACTTTCATACAACTCCTACACAGAGACAGGGTAAGAACCACACTCAGACCATGAATACCATAGGAACTGTGCAAGTTGTGCAGTTTACTGACATGTTTACCTCCAGGAAAGATATG